CACCTCTAGGAAATTGACCACTGGAGTCTGAGAGCCCACGAATGGACAGCAAGAACTCAGAATCCATCTCTACTGCAAGTTAAAAGACCTCCGAGCAGCCCCTCTTACTGTGGGAACACCATTCCTGCCCCATCATTCCTGCCAGCAGCAAAGAGCATGGCCCCCAGAGAGAATACACAAGCCCTGGCTACCCAGCACCCCTCACCTAACCCGGGAGTCCCGTGGCCATCCCTCACTGACGAAGAAGAAAACTATTCAACAGAACCATGGACCCGCAAAGGAGTATCCAACAAGCAGTGTGTGTCACCATTCTTTCCACCATGACACTGGCCCAGGAGGGCTGCTAGCCCTGCCACATCATGCTAGTGAAGCCATGTGGCCCGGTCATTCACCTTCCAAGCAGACAGATGTGAAAATATGAACTCAACAGCCAAGTCAGCTGAAGCTCCACACTTCCCTCCCAGCCACAGAGGAAGGACATCCAGGTACTCTGGGGTGCAATGCTGGTACCCCTCAAGAGCACCCTCGGTACAGAGCAGTGCTGTCAATGTCATGAAGGAGCACACTGCTCTGACCCAGCAAGTCCTCAAGGAGGAACTCACCGACAGGCACTGATGCTGGCCACACACTCAAGAGGAGCGGCTGCAGGGGTGAGGCCGCCCATCAGCTGCAAGGCTGCAGAGTTCCAAAGCGAGGACACCAGGGAGTTCCACAACGCCTCTCAAAATGACCCCACAGGCTCCCCGCAGGCAAAGACGAGGCGCAAAACAGCAACACAGAGTTCGCCATTTACGCTTGCTTTCCTGAGACAGGGTCCTTCTATGGAGCCCTGACAGGACCAACTCCCTGATCAGGCTGGCCCCTGAACTCAAGAGATCCTCCTGCCTCTGCGGCCAGAGTGCTGGGACTAAAGATGTGCACCACCACGTCCAGCTCCATCCACACTTTAAAGAGGGAGGGACCGCACTCTGCTTGAAAGCACAAGGCCCATCTCAGAAGGATACACGAGAAGCGGGCACCGCCAACTTGGCTCCAAAACCAAATGATGGGCAGGGGTTGAGGATCTGGGAGGAATCTCCAGCTGGTGCTCCCCTCATCTGGATGTCTGAGTCAGGAGAATGCTTTACCTAATCAGAATAGGAGCTGGAGCAGTGGCACAGAGGTGCAAAGCTCTGGCTGCTCTTGCCAAGGACCCGGGTTCAGTTCCCAGCACCCACATGGTGGTTCTCAGCCATCTGTAACTCCAGTTCCAGAGATCCAGTGCCCTCTTCTGGCCTCTGCAGGCCCTGCACACTCATAGAGTACAGTAGTATACATGCAGGAAAACACACATATAAAAAGGTTAAAGATCTGACTTCTACAGTAAAGGCTAAAATATACACTAGACATGTTTTCTCTGACTTTATATAGCCAAAGAAAATGCTGGTAAATCCTTTGTGGCCGCTAACCCTGACCTCCAAATCAACCTGGGCATAACTGTCCCATGGGAGTCCGATGTGCAGAGCACTCTCTAATGCCTTCCAGCATGCACCACAGAGGACAGCCCTGCTCCCACACTCAGGCAGATAATCTTTGTAAATGGCTTATTAACAGAGTTCAGTCACCTGACAGCCCAGTGTGGAGGAATGCCAGAGACACACTGATGTGGTGAGTATCCATGACGACCACAGGACAGGCTGGCTGGCTGAGTGGACGGAGGATGGACGCTGAAACACTATTACTCAATGCTCATGAGCTGTGGTGCCTCTAAAACACCAGTGTGGTCAGCATATGGTACAAGGACACTGTCCAGTGACCAGCAACAGCATCCCTGGACACACCAAAGGCTATGGAGTGGTACACTCCATACCTACTAAAATCCACCTCAGCATTTGGACTTTAGTGTGCTCTCATCATGGTTGATAACAGTGAACTGTAGTTAAGGCCCAGTCCTGCATCAGGTGCAAACAAAGACAACTCAAACTCTCTGTTCTTATAAGGCCTTTACCTGAGCCCCAGTTATAGAGGCCAGAGGCACAGACGCACCCTCACCCCCCACATATGTGCACAGCTCCGGGCAAGCCTGCTGCTAGGCAGCTCACAGCAACCTAATAGACGCCACAGTGGCTTGCATCGCCAAGCTGAATGCACATGGCCAAATCAGTGTTCCCAAGCAAACAGTCACTGAACCTCCATGACATGGCTTAACCGGCATATACCAGCAACTGTGATTCACACCTGGTTGTTCCGAGGAAGCAGAAGACACAGTAAAGATGAGGAGATGCTCTGTGAAACTAAAGAACAGGGCCGGCAAGTCATTTGGTCCTCGTCTCCCTCCCCAAGTGGGTGGCATTCATGTTGGAGAAACATCTCCATGCTAAGGTATGGGCATCTGGAGGATTGGTGAGACACTCACAGAACATCTGCCTGACTGACTGCTCCTAGCAACACTCTTGTGGTCAACACACCTCCATGCATCACTTTAAAAGAGCAACAAAAACTAACTAATGAGTAATTTGCAGGGCAGGGCATGAAAATGCATGATTTTCAAAAATAAAAAAAAAAAAAATGAATGTCTTTCTCAGCCGATTGTTACAATCAAAGCTTTTCACTGGGTTGAAAATTTGAGAGGCATTAAAAACCAATTCTGTGACTAGAGGGAATCAACACATCATCCGTGTTAGTTAAGGAGCAGGGCCTTCGAGAGTAACCCAGCACAGCAGAGGAGCACAGAGTCGAGGGCACAGCTCAGTGGCAGGGCCCATGCTTATCAGAGAGAGAGAACTGTTAAACCACCAAGACTTCAAACAGACGAGTGTTGATGCACCGTCCCCGACTTCACCGAGAACACTAAGAACACACGCGGCACAGAACTGAAGGTGAGACACAGAATGAGCCTGCGTCCTTCCTCCGGGAACAGAGTCTTCCCAGGGTGGAGGAAGGGAACACTGACCCAGAGACTTGGACCTCCTCCTCGCCTCTTCCCAGGAAGTCACTCTGGCATCCTCCCCACAGGCTTCCCTGCTAGGAATGAGGGTCTGCTCCAGCACGTGGGCTGACCCAGCACAAAGCACTGCCTTCCAGAGAGGCCTCTGCTGCCACTGACTGGTCTTCCTGATGTGTAAGTAGAAGCCAGGATGCTTCCATTTTTGAGCACTGCCCCAAACAGTGGCACCCATACATCGGTATTTGACTGCACAGCTCAAATATATTGGGAAAATGAAATGCAGAAACACCATTGGAGCCCAGGATCCGAATGTGAGCAGCAGAGAGAGGAAATGCACCAGGCTAGCAGAGCAGCACTGATGTGAACCAAATACACTCTTCCATGGAGCCGAGGGCACAGTGCAGCGGTGGAGCCCAAGCTTATTAGCAGGTACTGTTGGGTACAGTTTTGCAAAAGAGGAAACAGGCAGGGGCTGGGGAGATGCTTAGCAGCTAGGAGCACTGGCTGCTCTTGCAGAGGACCCAGGATCAGTTTCCAGCTCCAATGACAGCTCACACCACCTGTCTGTAACTCCAGGCCCAGGGGATCCAGAGCCCACTCTGACCTCTAAGAGCACATGGCATGCATGTGGTGCATAGAAATACTTGTAGATAAATGACTCACACACATAAAATATAAATTAATCTAAAATTGTTTTAAGAGAGAGAGGCAGAAGGAGGTCTAGGCACCCTGCTTGAGGTCACAGTGGGTCACAGGGGACAGGGCCGGGCAGAGCTTGCCGCTCCAATTCACACCAGTGCTGGGAGCAAAGGGGACTCCTTCACTGGCTCAGGTGCTCCTTCCCAGGAAGACCCTGACTGCCATGGGGTCAAAAGCAGGCCAGCCAGAGGGAACTACAGCCAAATGAAACTTCACCCAACTCTTTGATCCCACCTGAAGGGGGGGTGGTCTATAAAGCAGCTCTAAGACGGAGGCCTTGGCCTGCATCAGGACAGGACAACCTGCAGTGATAAACAGTCATCACCCAAGAGTTAACACAGACGGTCTTCCTGTCCGGCTCCACATGGGTGGAGGTCGGAGGATAATTTTGTGGAGTTGGCTCTTCTCCTTCCAGGGATGGGACTGGGGTCAGAAGGCTTGTGTGGCCAAAGTCTTTCCCTGCTGAGCCCTTAGAGTGTGGTTAGCAATGACCACCTCACTGTGACGCACATCCTAAAGACAGACTACACGAGGATCTCTGCAAGCTGCAGTGTGCGATGTGCATTCCCTGAGGCAGCCCAGACAGTGAGGGGGGTCTGCATACATGCACACCTGTGACTGCATTGGCTACACAGCCTGTGAGCTCTGAGCACACGCTGGAACCCTAGGACAGAGAGCTGGGACATGAGCTATGAACCACTGCCTGAGGCACGTTGCTGAGTAAATGCTAGGCACAGAACAGGGAGGGCGCATACCATGACCCCACGTCTGTAAAGATCTGCCCCCTGTTGACAGATGTCTATTTCTATAGACACCAGGAAATCACTAACAATCTACTGTGTGCCGTGGAGGAGAAACTCTTCAGCTCAGATTCTATCTACTTGCTTGGACTTTTCTGCCATGCTCATACACTAACGCAGCTGAAAACAAGAGCATCGAGAGTGTTAACACCCTGCCAAGTATGGCGGTGCACACTGCTACTCCAAGAATTCGGAGCAAGATGGGGCAGGAGCCTACACAGTGAGTTCAAGGCCAGCCTGATCCGGATATGAGAGACCCTATTTCAAGTAACTAAACCAAACCAGAACAGGAAGAGCTTAATTTTCAGCTGCATCTAAAAGAGTTAAATTCCAGGGCTGGAGAGAAGGCTCAGCAGTTAAGAGCACTGACTGCTCTTCCAGAGGTCCTGAGTTCAATTCCCAGGAACCATGTGGCAGCTCACAGCTGTCTGTGACTCCAGTTCCAGGGGACCCGACACTCATGGCAAAACACCAATGCATATAAAATAAAATAAAAGAATTAGAAAAATACAAGCTTACTTATTTAAAAACAAAAAGAATTCAACCCACGCTTGTTCAAGCCACTGTCTCGGTACCTTGTTTCCTTCATACACCCATCCCAGACTCTTCACACCAAAGGCGACCTGGCTGGCTGAGACATCCAGACATGTGGCAGGCTGGCCATAGACATAATGGAGGGTTCTGGCTGAGTCCTCAGCCTTCAGCAGGTACACCAGGTCCCCAGCTGTGGCTATTGCCACGGGGTACCTCCCAGTATTCGGAACTATTTCCAGGTAGTCGACCTGCAAAGAGAGGGCTTGTTTAGTCATCCACAGACATCTAGACTTGGTCAAGAAAGAAACTTTCCCTGTACATCAAGAGGGCACAGGGACCTTTTACTGAGGATGAACATGGCTCCTGCCCAGATGAAAAGATGCTTGTAACAGCAGAAACACAATGCACTCCGAGAAGAAAAGCCACAAAAGAAAATCCATGGAGACACCATTTTCCACCTGTCACAGCATGAGGACCAGGAAGTCAGAGGACACAGAGCTGGAGGTGAACAGGGGACATAACCCTGTCCAAGTCTTACTCAGGAAAGACTGGCAGTGCTTACCACCGTGCCAAGCTCGCTCTGACTCAGGAGGTCCCTCTGTGACCCAGCAGCTTCCAGACAGCCGCAGAGCAAAGGGTTGTAGATGGTGTTCACTGCGGGGCCACACCTGTCACTGTGCAGACATGATAGAGCCACACAGCAAATGCCACACAACCTCAGGAGGAAACCTGAGGGCTTCCTTAGGATCCACAGGACCACTGTGGAGATGAACTGGGTCTGGGGGAGCAAGGGAACAGGATTCCCAGGGGGCTACCCCCAAAAGTCCAGCAGATGGGTGGAGTCACAACGCGCCCGGCTCAGGCATGGGTATGTCTTTTAACAATGGCTGTCTTCAAGGGTAGAAACAGGCTGAGAAAGGCAATTTCCGGCTGTTAGTTTTACTGGGTCTTTGGAATCCTGAACATGGCAGTGTTTAGAGCGATCCTTCTTTGTTTTGTTGTTTTACCAGAAACTGTAAAAGTAAAACTGTCCCAGTTCCAAACGAACAAAACCATTCTGAAATATGTGTATGTACCACCAATGCATCACCAGAAGATCCCAACTGTATTCTCAGCCCTCTCCTACCTCCTGTCAGGCACTGGTCGTCCTGTGCCGTGTGGCCGTCTGAGGATAGAGACCAGGACAGATAACACACTTCTGTCAGTGTCTTCTCTGACTGCACAGGGGGACGAATCCCCTCTAGGATGATCCGCTTCTCCCCAGAGCAGTCTGCGTCAGACCCACCTACTTAGTAATCACAGAGAGTGGGTGCTGAGGGTGAGTCCACTGTGGAATCATGAAAAGCCATGGTGTAAAGGACAGCATTGCCCTGACAATATGCCAGAGGCGCTCAAAAGCCCGAGTTCTGTAGGCTGCCCTGGGGAGCTGAGCACAAGCAAACATCCGGTGCCTCTGCTAATCCTGGGTCCAAACCGTGCCGAGGCAGCCCAACATCTTGGGCTGTAGGTCCGTCCCAAAGGCCAGCTGCTCCAAGCTAACACTGCAGACCTGGGAACGCTGCCACTGTTATTCAGGAGGCACAGCTAGGAAACAAAGATGGGCGGGGTGCCTGATCCAGGGATGCCCAGTACATATTGTGGCAACTTGGCACCCAGACTGGAGAATAATGCTGGGAGTTGACACATCCTCAGCAGGGCTGCCCACTTCCTCTCTCTGAAGAAAACTTATCTCTTAGTTTCTTAAAACAGACATCTTTCAGTAGCCATTTAACTTCATCTTCCGGTTGGATTTCTAGCACGCCAAGAGGCTCAGATTGGCAGTGGCCGCCATTCGCTGGGAGGTGTAAACGACCTCAAAAGCTTCCAGTCAGCCCCAGGATGGCACCTGACTGCCAAGGCAGGATTTACACTTCACGAGGGGTACTCAGCTTGCACAATTGTGGCCGGTGCACATTGTTCATTAGCCCTGCACTCCGCATCTCTCTCAGGCCTCAGGACGGGCTGACAGCGGCAGGTCATGTTAGAAGAACACTGTGTGAGAGCCACAGAGCTGATCCGCGGTAGCAAGCAGCTCAGGGAGGTGAAGCAGTGACGCCAGGTGCTTGCTATTCAAATCTAAGATTCCCACAGGGAAAGGGAGAGAGGAGCCGGTTCCAAGTCGCCATCAATCCTTGATCAAGGCTGGCTCTTCTGCTCCTCTGGCTAATGCCAAAATGAAGTGTGCTCAAATTAAATCCAAACTCAGCACAGACAGTTGAACACTGTCTTTATCACCAAACCCCCTCTGCCTGGTGGACAAGATTTGTGTACAACTGAACTTGTCAGAGCCCTGTGCGAAGTTCCCGGAGCTGGCTCAGCTTCATGCACATCCCCGAGCCCGGCTCCCGATCCACACTGACTTCCCTCAAAAGCTGTTCTTAGTTCTAGGTAAGACACCAGTGTGGGATGAATGCTTCCTTCCACACAGACTACAATGTACCCACCACTGCTGTTCTCTTAGGCCTTAGGCCAGAAATGAAGCTAGGCCCCCAGGGGGAGTGGGCTGTGCAAGCAGGAAGGAGGCTGGGACCAAGGTCAGAGCAGACTCTGGCCCTGACCAGCTCCATGTCTGTATGGATTGCTGTGTTGTTTGGTTTTGGAAGCAGGGCTGGGGTGGAGAGATGGCTCAGCAGTTAAGAGCATGTATTGTTCCTTGCAAGGGCCTGAATTAGATTCCTAGCTTACAACCCCTTACAAGTCCAGCTCCAGGGGATCTGACACCTCTGACCTCGTGAGCACACACCCACATAGTTAAAGTGGAAGAAGAGGGGCTGGAACCTGGGCCTCATGCACACTAAGTAAATGTTCTACCATTAAGCTATAGCCTCAGCGCCACACTTGGATTTGAGTCACAACTTCTCAGCTCAGAAACCAGGGGCAGGTCAATACGCCACTCTGAGCCATTCCTGACTTCTTGGGAATGAAGGAAATTCTATCACCCACTTCAGTGGGAGTTTCACGGACAGAAGGCTCGGGCATCATTGCTATCTGTCTGATCAGACCCAGGGATTCTCAGCTAACGGACAGACTAAGAGCTCACCAGTTTCTGAACTTCAAATTCCGCAGCTACATGCCAGTACCCCTCCTCGTTAGGGTACAACATCACAACGTCAAAAGCAGAAGCTGTGGCAACCGTGGCCTCTTCCCGGCTGAGCGCAAGGGCCTGTATTCTTGCATCGTGCTCAAAGCGATGGATAGGGAACTTCCCGGTCCTCAGGTCCCAAATGTTAAGAATCCCTGGGGGAGCAAGGCAGAGAGCAGCTGTAAACCCAGTTCACATGGCACAGAACAAGCATGCAGTCAGTTTCCAAATTCACTCCACGAAGACGACATATACGCACATTTGTTTGGATCTGTTCCACTGCTTCCGAGCTGCAGGACTTGAGACATGTCACTCCTCCTCACCAGTCTCTTAACTCGGAAGACAGCAGTACCCACCACACAGGACTACTGGGCAGACCGGGGAGACCCTCCACAAACAATGCTCAGCCGTGAAGCCAGCCCGAGCTCCCATCCTCCTACAGGGGCAGTGACACTGTCCACTCTCCATCTCTGTGCAGTCCACTGTCTTCCTTCTTCCTGCACTGCCCCTCATCTCTACACTGAAGGTCCAAGACTTCCAAATGGCCTGCAGCTGGTAGTCACCAAGAGCAACAGGGCTCTCCTCCAGAAGAAGGCTTAAACATGAACCGCATGCACTTTTCTAAGAACTATGATCAAATGGACAGGCAGGTCATAAAAGGCTCCCTGACATGGTCCCTGGCATATACTTTGGTAAACTCTCTCTTCTGCCGCAGGAGATGTGCTACAGAAAATGCCCATCTTGGGGTCCACTCATTAAATAGGTGCTAGCGTCCCCACCCCCGAGGAGGTCTCATCTTAATATGGCCTCTTCCAAACGCGGCCCTGAGTCTGTTCTGAGGCATCACACAATGAGAACTGCCGTGCAGAGCCTCTGGGCAGTCCACATCACATGACTCCTCTCACTGTGTGCTCTCCGTTGTGGCAAGAGCAGTTCCCCCATTCCACGGAGCAGAACAGTGGAAGCTCTAAGTGGCTGGACCACTGCGCTGAGCTGTGGGGAGAGAACTGGAGCTGGGTGAGGACGCACACACCACCAAACTCGGCCCATGTTCTGCTGGCTGTTCAACACAGCGCACTCGAGTCTATCTACAGACACGGGTTTCATTACTAGGCAAGGGCTGGTTTGGCTGGCATCTTTTTCTCAACAGAACTGGATGCGATAAACATGTAAGCACACAGTAAACAGCTCAGCGCGGAGCCGAGCTCCAGGCTGCCTCACTCAGGGCTCCGCTATCGTGACCACTCTCTCTGAGTACCTCCATACTCTCTCCATGACAGCCCTCCCTCCTCTTCAGTTCCATCTGTGTGTGCCACGAGGCTGGCCTCCCCGTCAATGGCACTGGTGTCACTGCGCTCCCCTAGCACCAAGTCTGGTGTGCAAGCATTGAGTGCGCTAATGCTTTCTGGAATTAACTGTACCTTTCTCACAGTTAATGTCCCTCTCTGTCCCTGGCTAGGGTCTCTGCTCTGAAGTTCACTTTGCCGCTCACCCCGCGCTCTGGCTTTCCCCATCGGTTTCCTTTGCTGTCTGTCTTTATTTTTAAAGTGGGTCTGATTCTTGGAGCCAGGCACAGCGACACACACCGGTAGCCTCGGCGGCAGGAAGGATGAGGCAGCAGAATGACAGTCTGAGGTTAGCCTGAGCAACACACCAAGTCCAGGATGAACAATAACTTGTCTCTAAAGACATACACACGTAAGGTGGAGTTCTTGTAGATAGTATATATTTGGTCTTGTTTTTTAAATACAAGTTAAGACTACTGACAGTTTTAGATCTATTTTATTTTTAATTATGTAAGTGTAGGTGTGTCTGTGTGTATGCATATCATATGAGTGCAGGTGCCCACGAGGCCAGAGGCCTCAGATTCCTTGGAGTTGGAGCTATAGGTGGTTGTGAGCTTCCAGTGGGTGTTTGGGAGCACTCTGCAGGAGCAGCAAGTGGTCTTAACCACTGAGCCACCTCTCTAGCCCCACTACTTACTTACACCGTTTTTCTTTTCCACGGCCCTAGTTTTTGACTATGTGTTTATTCCATCATGCTTCCTCTGCTGACCTATTGGCTGAAATTCCCCCTGGAATCATTGAGCAGCTGCTTTAGGACTTTAAGACACATGCTTAGCTCACCACAGCCTACCTTCAAGTGACAATACTCATCCACACCAAGTCCAAGGACTTTACAGTCTCACGGCCGTTTTCCCTTCCCAGGCTCTGTATATGGCCCTCACACACTTCGGTTTTGCAGGAGCAGGTGGGCCAGTATCTTTTAGAGTGATGTAAGTAAGAGAGTGAGCTACTTATTTCCCCATGTAATCCTCTCCTCTGTTCACCAACGTCACCTTCACCATGTGACAGACCTGCTCAGTGTGCACAAGGTCCTCCTACTCCCCACACCACTAGAGGAGGGGAGAGCTTAGGGCAGGGACAGACAGACACCAGACTAACACAGTTCCATCCCAGTCCTTTTCAACCTGAGAACTGCAGACTTGAAAAGCGAATCCCTCCGCTGTGAGAATGTCCCACAGCACAGCTGGAGGTCAGAAGAAAGGAGGAGGAGCCAACAAGGTCACACAGGGGGTAATGCTGGCTGTGCCCTGTGCAGCATCAGGTGTTAGGACGATGGGAAACAAAAAGCTCCTTCCTGCATGCAGCCCAGTTCTGGTAGCATCTACACAGCCTCTCACTTGTAGGCCTCTGAAGATCTAACTGTCAACCTGATACAGCCTGGAGTCCCCTGAGAAGTGAGTCTCCATCCAGGAACTGCACAGGGCATGAAGGAGGTGGGGGGGGGGGGGGAGCTGTTTTGATTGTTAATTGACAAAGGAAGGCCCAGCCTGCTGTGGGTAGCACCATTCCCTGGCAGGTGGGTCTGGGATACCTATGAGTGAGCGAGCAGCATCCTCCAGTCTCTGCTTCAGCTCCTGCCCCGCCCTTCTTCAGTGATGGCCTGGCACTGGGAAGTGTAACCAAGGAAACCTTTCCTCTTCTCTCAGTTGCTTCAGGTCAGTGTTTTATCCCAGCAACAGGAAGGAAGCGATAAACTTTGTTCAGATCACCCCCCAACACACACACACCTGCCCTCACCCTGACAAGCAGCAGCTGACCTTTCTGGACACTGAGTTGAGCTGGTCCACGTTCACCACATGACTGTTAAGGGAGATGTTGGCAGAGATGGTCAGACCAAAGCACTTCAGTTCTCAACCAGGTGCAGTATTTAAAACTCTGACCTGGATTCGTCTGAATGGCCGTATTATAGGCCCAGCAACAGGGTGAACTTGGCTTCTGGTACTGGATGGCAGATAAAGAGGCAGGCTGTGTGCTGGGCTTCTGCACTCCCCAGGGTGGGTTCAGAGGGAGTGGTGTGCCATTAGCAGAACCTGCCAACGTTCACCTCTGTTTCAACTAGAGAGGTTCAGTTGTAAGAAACAGATCCCAGGCTGGGCGGTGGTGGCGCAAGCCTTTAATCCCAGCACTTGGGAGGCAGAGGCAGGCGGATCTCTGTGAGTTCGAGGCCAGCCTGGTCTACAGATTGAGTTCCAGGACAGGCTCCAAAGCTACACAGAGAAACCCTGTCTTGAAAAACCAAAAAACAGACCCCAGTGGAGCTGCACAGGACAGAACAGGACAGGCTGACAAGGGATCAGAACCAGCGACCCAGACAACACTGAGGACCAAGACCACTTGTACATGCCAGAGATCTCACCTCTAATTTCTACAACTGTTTCCTCCTGTCCGTCTCCACAATCCAGCTTTCTCTAAAAGAGTCAGCTCCTTCCCACAAAGGCTTCTACTCCAAGCATGGAACGAAATGTGAACCCTGGTCCATGAACAGGTCCCCAGCCCTGGTCTGATCAGCCTATACCAAAAGATGACTCAAGTCCTCCACGGCTGCCCACCACCTGCTGGCTTGGAATAGAGTTTGGAGTGCAGAGGCACTGAGCTGTCCTCCACCTCCCTGCACCTCAGGCCAAGGTGAAACAAGACAATTGCTCAGCAAAGGCAAAGGGAGGTCCCCGGCAGCTTCCTGGTGACTTATGAACATGCCACCATTTCCTGCAGCAGCCCCAGGCTCTGAGAGCTGGAGTCCAGGCCCCACGGTGTAAACAGAGGCAGGAGGCGTCCATCCTGAGCATCTTCCACACTTGCAGAGAAGATTCTGAGCTCCAAGGAGCGCTGGGGCTACAAGAGAGCCCGTTCACTCAGCAGAAATTTGCAAAGGGCGGACAAAGGAAGACACTGGACCTTTCACAGCCCATCTGACAGACGACAGTGAGGGAAGGCCAAAGCCCCCCAAGTAGGCAGGGGCGGGACCTGGCAGCGCTCCTGGCTCCCCGCTCAGTACCCTCCACCTTGACGAGCAGCCGGGCTAGAGGCACTCAGCACTTGCCCTAGACCAGGAAGTCATTAGCAGTGACATGAGTGACGAGGGCCAGGCTTTGGAGGAGACATAAAGGCTGCTGAGCAGCTGTGGATGGGCACCCATGCCAGTCTGCAGCACGTCCCTCCACCTCCCAAAGGAGGCCAGGCAGAGTGTGGTAATGAAACTGCACATAGTAGAAATGGGATCTAAATGAGTTTAAGCTGATTTATGTTAGCTTTTGTAAAGATTACCGGGATCGGGAAAGTGCTACCACTGTGCAAGAGCGACGACAGTCCTTAAGAACTCCGCCTAATGGTGCCTGCGCACAGTATTTATATTCCTCGGCATGGGAACAAGGACCATAATGGATACCATTTTTGTTTTATTAGGGATGCATATTTAAATTAATCTGCTATTTGCCTAAACAATTAGCTGCTTCTGTTTGTGTGCACAAAGCCAAAACTGCAATTAGACTTCCATCAAAAAAATAAGTCCCAACTAAAACTGTCCCGGTGGGGCCGTAAGAGCTCAGGGCAGAACTTCCCCAATTACTTCTCAGCACAATGGTAATTACGTTAATTGCTTGAAAGGTAAATAACCACTGAACTGGTTTTGGAAACACACACAGGCACTCCCCTCCCCTCTGATCTGCTCCATGTACCCAAGGTTTAAAAGAGGTTACAGTTTAGACAGCCACACGGCAGACCCTCCAACTACCATGTCTGCTCATGGGCTCTGGAGCCTTCCCTTTGAGCAGCCGGCCACGGTGAGCTCAAGCCTGCCTCTTGAGCTCACA